AAACGCTTGTGGCACAATGGGTTCAACATTTGGGTGGGTAAATTAATGTGAGCGACCATTACAATGTAATGTGCAGATTTCATGTCACGTAGAATTTGCACGTCTGCCTGCGACGCACGTTTGCTAGGCAAATGCGTGGCGCAATCGCGCCAAATGGGCCGGAGCAGCAAAAGGGTCCCCTGCGCACGTAACACTTTACTCTCCCTCTGAGTAACTCCAATAAGGGTCCGAATCTCAACAGCTGAGCCTCAGCTACTCCTACAAATAATGTTCATCAGCAACTGTGTTACCCAGCTCGGAGGCTTCACCATCACGCCACCCTCAGCTCCATTCGCTCGTACTCGTGACTCGCCCAGGGCGTGACGCTCCAGAACTAATCATGTTGAAAGATGAACTAACCATCGACGCGATCGGTCGAGAATCTCGACTCGAGATCATGACAACGATTCTGATTGATGAATCGCGAAGTGAGGTGGATGTCGGGGTGTCAAGAACCAACTGATCGAGCACACAACAATCACGACGTAGTCATCAGGGACGCAATCCTCTCTCATATGTCTCCCCTGGCATCGATGGCTCATCGATGCCAGGGGGAATGGGTTTCGCCATCCGACGAGTCTCGTCGCCTCTCCTCCAAAGGTATAGTCTCGGCCATGCCAGAGTTCACGTATAGGCATGGTTCCTCCGGCTCATGTTTACTCTCATTCAGGCAACTTTTGCTATGAACCTCGGTGAACTGCGTTCTCCTAAGAACTTCAGAGTCTACTCCGGCTCCTCGGCCATGCCAGAGTATGAAGCTATTGTGAACTCTCTCAGAGAGCAATGTATCGGGGAGCACGAGAGAATTCCCGTACCCTTCGACGACTCCACGCGAAGGATGATGTGAGGATACCGTCACTCAAGCAATCAAGAGCCTCAGTCCAGATACTGCGATTATACTGCTTCAGGCAGAAGTCTGACTAGTGTTGAGGAATTCATATCCTCCACCGTCTGTCCTACGTACGTGGAAGTCATCTCAGCTGAATCCGCCGTCGTCAAGTCATGCAGATACGCGAACACTCACTCCATGGCTTCGGCAACTGCTCGTCAAACGATGCGTTACCGCGAAGACGCAAGGGAGGAGATTCGTAAATATTTCAATTGTACTGCCGAAGACTCCGGTAAGTGCACCGGCCGCAGGCGCCAGGTCACATGCTTGATCATTCAGTCATCTTCTGTGGTGCTGGAGCTACGGCAGCTATCGACAGGTTCATTGGAATCATGTGCCGCAGTCGAATCTTTGCTACTGATGCATCTCCGAAAGGCCTCCGTCGGGCGGTCCGCTCATCTCTAACAAACACATTAGCTTTGATCGTTGCCATTCAGGTTTTGATTGTAGATCCGGCTGCTCATCACAGCTCATTACTCCCCTTCAGAGAGCTGGCTTCGAAATATCCACTCATCCGCCCAGCTTCCACAGGTCAAATCCATGCAAAGGTCATCATGAATCATCCTTCGTTAGCCCTGGTGCCATTTCTCATGTGCTTCAAAGGTTACGAATCCGCAGATTTTGAAGTTGAACTCGTGGTAGCTGCTCACTCACCCTTTGCACTTCAGCCGTCCCCTTTTCTCTCAGACGCTACCTCTATGCCCAGTCAAGGGTACTGCTTCTGTTGAGTGTCTCGAGCA